AATTTAGTAATTGGCTAGTTTTTTACCTTTTAAATTGTATTTTTTTCGACAGAGACTACAGTTGGGAGCTCAAACCAGGTTGATCTCTTTGGACAAGATTTGATTGGTGACCTCATGGATGCTCCAACATCTGTTTCTGTAGAAAAGCAAGCAGCTAATGATGTGCCAGAGGTTGATCTCTTTGCAGATGCGGCATTTGTATCAGCACCACTACAAATGGACAAGGGAGCTAGTTCTCAACCACAGGTTAGACTTCGTTACCTATAATTTTTGTGTTGCATTTTCCCCCTCATGTCAGCTACCAAGTATTCACAAGTTTAACGACATGAATCTCCACCATTAAGTAGGTCCTATCTCAAAAATTCTAGGTTCCACATTCATTGGTGCTCCAATAGCATGAATGTTGCCAATATTGATTAGGATTGTTTAACTGCGTTCTACTCCAATGATGTAAATATCGTTGGTCTATTATTTATAACTTAGCTAACGTAGTAATGTTGAGACTGTAATCGGTTAACTGTAAAAGTTAGCATGCTGGAGTTGTGTGGGAGGGAGAACCATGAGGTGGATCAAGGTACACCGTTGGTTTTGATGCTGCATAAATTTTCACACGAGTGTACTAATTGCACTTCAGAAAAATTATTCAGCTTATTAAGCTGTTATCACAAATTATTCATATTAGAGAATAGTGAGTTTGGGCGTTTGCTTAGAAGACTCGTAGAACTACAAGAGAGAGTAGAGACTAAATGGAGGGTGGTGGATAGTCCAGTAATTGAAGTTATAGGAGAGACCTTGGAAAACCGTGGCCCAAAACATTGAGAGATTTGGAATTAAATGATCTATGATTGGAATTAATTCATGACAAGATAGTATGCTGTTGTTGGATTCATGTGGTCAAATCACCTGGTTGGGAAAAAACTTTGGTTTTTGACTTTGGTAGTTTTTGAAAGAATTATGTATTTACCTGCTTAACTTCTTTCTTCACAGTTTCATTTACAGTGCCTTAAATTCCATTTCTGTGTATCTTATTGATTGCATGGACAGGAAGAAGTGGATCTTTTTTCTTCTCAACCAGCCATTGCTTCTGCTACACCAACAGTTGACTTGTTTTCCATTCCTGCACCAGCTGTGCAGCCTGACAGCAAGTCGGAAAACTCTGTTCCTGTGAATGACAGCACTTTTGATCCCTTCGCTTCTGTTCCACTTAATAATTTTGATGGATCTGATTTTTTTGGCGATTTTACTTCTCAATCTGATTCTGTATCTTCACAGCCCTCAGCTAATCCTATCTCCGATGGTAGTACAAGTGCTAAATCTTTAGCGGACTCTAACGTTTCACCTAAAAAGGATGCTTTTCAGGTGAAATCTGGCATTTGGGCTGATTCACTAAGCCGTGGATTGATTGATCTCAATATATCTGCTCGTAAGTTTTATGCTGACTACTTTAACAGCTTTTTCCAAAGCATAATATATTCTGTGTTAAGTTACTGCTATATACTCTGTACCTCCACGCCTTCACTCACAAAATGTCTTCACTCACAAACACAATCATGTACCATGTTTCCAATAATCTGTAACTGCACGGTCCTTTTCACCCGTGATTACATCAGTTGGAAATTCCGCTTTTTTTGCGGTCTGCCCCTAGCCATGTAATTGCGGCCTGCCTCTAGCCATGTAATTGCAGCCTGCCCCTAGCCATGTAATTGCAGCCTGCCCCTAGCCATGTAATTGCGGCCTGCCTCTAGCCATGTAATTGCAGCCTGCCCCTAGCCATGTAATTGCAGCCTGCCCCTAGCCATGTAATTGCAGCCTGCCCCTAGCCATGTAATTGCGGCATTTGGTTGCCTCATTTGCGGTCTCTGACACCTTTCTTTGTGTTGGGCGTGAAGGGTAGATATAATCTTACATTGCTTAGAGATATCATCTGTGTAGTGTTAATAATGTTTGGGCACCTTCACCTTACAAGTCGGTGGTTTTGTAAGGTTGAGTTAGTCACAACCCAAATTTTAATATGCTAGTAAAGTCTATCCAAAATCTATTACACCGTCTGCCTTCAAATTTCTGCTATAGGGCCACTTGAATCACATCCCAGATGTCCAGTCATGTGCGTCACTAGAGTGTCTTAAGATCCTACATTGGATGAAAGATGGCTAGAACATATTTAAAAAATGTGGACAAGTTTTACTTATAAAATAATTTTGTAAGATTGAGTTAAGACCAATCCAAATTTCTAAGAACATCTCAAAGTGATTAATGCATTACATTCTAGTATGTGTTTATCTTGAAAAATGATGCACAAGTCTCTTGCACAAGAATATGTTCATGAATTTGGTTGGAGGACCCGTGTAAACTACTTGCACTACTTGCGTGGTTCAGGATGTCTACTTCCCTGTTGCTCCCCATGTATGTGCACAATCACGAGTCGATCAGTTAAACTATGCGCTCATGAAATAAATGCACTGTACTAATCTATGCCAATTATTTTAGTAGCTTCTGTAATTATCTTATATTATTTTGCAGCCAAAAAAGTTTCCCTTGTAGATGTTGGCGTTGTGGGTGGATTGACTGATGGATCAGATGAAAGGGAGAAAGGCCCTCCAGCTACATTTTACATGGGTAGAGCCATGGGTTCGGGATCTGGCCTTGGTATGTATGGTGGCACTCCTTCACAGCCGCCAGCAACTGGAGACGACATGTTTTCAAACTTTGGCAGCCAAAACTATCAATTTGGTGGGTTCCAAAAGTAAAATTAACAAACTGTATACTCGTCGTCCTATCATAACTTCACTCATTCTTTGTGTGTCGCGGCATTATCAAGACTGTTGAGCTATTGGCATGGTGGATTTTGTTAATATGTATTTTCAAACTATTGTGATTATATTATTATAGATTCATGTTACTGTTGTGTCTTAATGTTGATTACAAGTTCCAGTATACTTCAGTGCCCAAAATTTTGGTGGACACTACTTTGAGCTGTAAAATACATGGCCTTGGTCTTTTTTTTGGTCTTGTTCATTCCTTAAAGATGTTGAATGAAAATCTTCTGGTTGTGCTCTGATAATTGCAGCTGTGATTCATAAACACTGCTTTACTCACTGAGTCATCGTTTGTATCAACCCTAGGATTGTCAGATTTAAAGCTTTTCTCATTAGGAGTAGTCCTCCTCTCTCTGGACACAGAAAGAGGGGAGGAAGAAGTGGCAGGATTTCTAAGTTGAGGAATAATGGGCCATAATCTATTGCGAAATAATATTATTTTTCAGTAAAAAAAGGTTTTTATCTCGAGTGATCCCTCCCTAAAATTGTCTTTAGAAAAATGCTGAACCAATCATTGATTCCAAAACTCAATTAATTTATAAAATTAACTGTCATTAAATTCAGAAGTTTCTGAAAGACCACACAAGCACACCGAAATTGTTAATCTATCCATTTGGTCTTGCAAAAATACAGTTTTTCCTTTGTTTCTGAGAATATTTCACTGTCTTTGCAAGGGTAAGTATTACAATAGGATGTTAACGAGATTATTTGATCGTTCTTATCATATTTAAATTCCAACAAAATTTATTTATATCAAAGAGCCCATATATATATATATATATATATATATATATATATATATATATATATATATATATATATATATATATATATATATATATATATATATATATATATATATATATATATATTATTTAGAGATCAATCTATTAAGAATAAGATTACATAGTTATGGTTCATTTACATTTAATTGACAAAAAATGAATAAAGAAAAATATAGAAAACATAAAAATATATACGTTTCATAAATAGTTGAGAAACCATGCTCGGCTTGGAAGAGCTCATTGAGTTTCCGCTAGTCTCAGAATTACCAGTGAAACTATTTCTAAATAAACGGTCCACCTAAAGCCCTTTCCTCCTGCGCCATAACTTGATCCTAAACCTACATCAGTCTCATATAAATACATCCAAAGAGACATTTCCTCGACACTGAATAGTGCTTGCAAAACACATTATATTACACAGGCCCTAGAGGCTACACTTTACTTAAGCAAAAGAGAGGGTTCGACCCCCGAAATATATATATATATATATATATATATATATATATATATATATATATATATATATATATATATATATATATATATATATATATATAAAGGTTTGAAGGGGTCTATAATTTTTGAAAAGAAAATAGACATTTGTATTGTATTTACGGGAATGTGAAATTAACATTTGTTTCAAGTTTTTACAAATTATATCCAAAAAAATTTATTCTAAAAAACATCATTTATTTTTGAAATTTCAAATATTTATTCCTACCAGAAAGAATGAAAATCTTATATTCCCGTGCAAATAAAAAATAACCAACTATAACTAACTACTTTTATAATATTTTATAATTTTTTTTATATTTTAAAAAATTTAAAATTATAAATAAAATAAAACTCAAAGTTCCTAAGAATTTATAATTTACCAAAAAAATTGATGGAAATAAAGTTCACGGCATTATCATTTTTGAAAATAGCATTCCTTGGATTGTAATTTTAATCCCTCAACCAAATACACCCAATATACTATTTATAACTAATGATAAACATCTAATTTTAAAGAAAATCTCTATTAGTTAAAAGCTAACCCACGCCACTAAACTATTCGACAAAAGAGAGCTACCCAACGGTCTATTCTCTATTCCACTCAACAACAATCTATTTGAGCATTAAAAATAATCCATTAACATGTATGACAAATGACATAAAATAGCAATGACAAAGCCCGCACCAAACAGAGAATTGAAACAGTATATTCAGTTTTGATTCAGACATATTTTGATTATTTTTTTTATTTGGTTTTTCACTGTCCAACAACGGATGCATGTGGGGGAAAAGGACTCAAGTATTAACAATTCCTATCCCCTTAATCATTCCAACTATCATTGGCAGCAAGTCCCAGAAAACTGACTTATTGCAGAAATTTGATTGAGAGAGAAGTTAAGAGTTTTCAGGTATACAATAATCTACCCCTTAACATAGCCTCTGCTTTCTTCACTTGCTTCGCCGGTCCTAAGATGAAGACCTACGGAAAAACAGTAAAACTTAAGACAGGCAAAGTTAAATAGTAGTGTTTTCAAGTGTACTATACTGATATACCAACCTTATCGGGTGGACCCCTGACACCCCCGATGAGAATTTCAGCACTGCACAAACGAGTTCAAAATTATTTTAAAACGAACTAGGATCCAGATTGACTGCAGTCATAATGCTGTAGTATGTAAATTTTGATCATTAGATGGAGATCGGCTGGTTTGAGTTTTAAATTCTAAAATCTAATTTACAATACAGCTTAAAATCATAATCATCGGTCTTATCTTCAATGCAAGACCAAAATTACAACTGCAGAAAATGTGGACTGCGTGCAATCCATTTCCAAAACGAATTGTATTTACTAAATCTGAGGAATAGAAAAGGGAGAAACGAATTATTACTTGCAAGACTCCTTAATTGCCATAATCGAAGCTCCCCTTTTCCCAATAATGCATCCCATCCTTCCTTTGGGAACATCAAGAACTGAAAGAATTTCTTCCTCAGGGCCATTTTCATCAACTTTCAGCATATCTACAAGAAAGAAGCAGACATTCTTTACAACAGTGAATAGCATGAACCAACCAATCAAACAAGCATTCCTAATCCTTAGTGTGTATATGTATCAGAATAGTAGGTTAATATAAAATGCTTAAAAATAAAAGCGAAATATTTCTTATTAGTTGTAACGAAATCAAATGAACAAAGTGGACCAAAGCTTCACTGAACTAAAATCCAGTCTGCATGAACCTCAAACGGAGTAAACAATATCAAAAATAGAAAGAACTCTTGAGCCTCGGAATGAAGTTATAGTTCATAGTTCCTGTCAAATTCGTCCCTTTATGTTTACAGAGCAGCTGCATATGTTCCCCTTTTTGAGGTAACTTTCAACAGGAAAGTTGAGGCATTACTATTACAAATAACATCATACGTTGTATTATTTCAATTTCAAATTAAACTATGTTTGTGCAAACTGTTGGGAGATTGAAGAGATAAACAGCATATCACACTGGCAAAATAATGTGTCCAAATAAAAACAAGAAAATATAATTTGTACATAATATTATTGTCCAGATTTTGAAGACCTGGAATTGGAGGTAGAGATGGCCAATCAGCGTAACCATTACTGTTCACACAGAAACAACGGCAGTACAAGGCACCACGAACAGCAAGATGCCACAAAGATCGTTCAGTTAATTTTGCCATCATTTGGTGATAAATGTAGAGAAGGAAACGGACATCATCGGCAGCAGAGTGGATCATTTGTTCAGATAAAGGTCTGTAAGTCCAAAACTTGGGGTCCTGACAACATTTAGAAATGACATCACTGGCGAATTGAGTTTCGTACAGATGACATAAATATTTCATATTTTTAATGAAACTCTTCCACGAATATATGCCAAAAATGGATAAATAGAATACACAAGTTATGATATATAACAACTACAACCAGCTTTATCCCACAAAGTGGGAACGGCTACCACAACAAATGAAGATTAATGAAGTTACACTGTTTCTTTTATTCAAGAACTTTCTACAGTTACATATTCGGTACCACAATCAGATCTTTAATATGCATGATGGAATCAAGCTTAAGAAAACCAATCATTTTAACTTTATGAGAAGGAAAGTGAAAATAAATCTTCTAACACAACAAATTATCATTCTAAAAACCAACCCGTCGAAGAAGGACCCGGACTTCTTCCTTGTCAACATATGATAAGCCTGCATGCAAACCCACAAAGTGAATAATGAATACTGAGAGAGAAACTAATCGACTCAAAAGAATTGATCAGGAAATATCTACACCTAGAATAATATGGTCAATAATATAAGGAAGCCATGGCCATCAAAAATACTTTAATGGATACCACGACGCATTTAATACCACAATATCGTGGATCTGCAAGGAGAGCAACTAGTGAAATGTAGTCATCTGGCAATCTCTTTTGTCCTTCTTGCTCTTCTATAAGTGAATAAGCAATCTAAGAAAAAACAAGAGTTATGATTAATAACTCAATAAAGCATAAGAATTATCATAATACTAGTGAAGAAAAAAAGGGACAAAACATGATACTGATAAGGGAAATTATACAATTTTCATCTCTTTCCTGTCTTGAGATTTCCTACTTTCAAATGGATTACTTGGGGTGGAGGATTAAGCAAAACTTCCTTGAAGACTGTTGTCATAAGTCTTCACCATAAATTTTTTTTTTCAGTTAGTATAACTTTATAGCAATTCCCCTAAAATTGAAGCTTATTCATTATTAGGTTATCAACATGTTTCAAATGAGCACACTTGAAAAAACTGATTTGGAAATACAATGCGGAAAATAATGGAAAGAAAACACAGCCGTGAAGTGATGCTTGTGCTTGAGGCAAAATAGGAAAAAAAAGGGTACTGCAGGAACGATAACTCGGCAAGATGGTTGAAATCATACACATCTAGAAATCTTGGTAGCAATGTTTCCCAACCAAGAATAAATAAACATTGAAGGAAAGATCTCTAACAAAAATTTCACAGCAAGCAATACAAAGCAATGCACGGATTCCTTAAAGTTAACCAAGAGGAACATATGGAGTTTAGCAAGAATAACCTCAAATTGACCCAAGAGCTCTTGGAAATGAATCAGGCTCTAATTGGTAATAAAAAAGCTTGAGTCTAGAAGATAGCAAAACAAACAAACAGGAGGAAGTGAAGCCAAATCAGCTGGTACTGGTAGCCAAGTGAAACTTGTCAGCTGGTGCAAAACATAGCCAATTATGATGGTTCATAGTGCCACTGGAATGGAAGGAGGGGTCTGATGTAAATTGCAGTTGATAGAAATAACAGCCAGTGTGTGTGGTTTCTAGTATAGGTGTTTAGAAAACGCTGGCAGTGGACCCAGTATGGGTTGGTGTAAATCCAACAAAGACTGGTCACCATTGCTATGTATGGTTCTCTAGATCAAGGTTGTGTGAGTGACTCAAGAACCAACGTAAGTTTTTAATTAGAGTACGAATACAATAAAAGGTGAAAATTGGTACATTACTATCAATATAAGAGTAAATTACTTGCTACATTATGGTAATGAAAAAAATACAGCTGAGAGTTGACTAAACACTAATATTTTAAGAGTATTTAACAACAATAAAATTTGTTTCACACTAGATTGAGTTGCCTACATAGATATCATAATATCCTATCATATCTCATGTTTGATGTGAATCCATTTAAATCAAAATCCTTCTGATTTGATCTTTAATTTTTGTTCATTTCCAAGTCCCCCACTTCTAACTATTAATTAGATTATTCTCCATCTAATCTACTATCCTTGTCAATGCTTCTATAGATTATTCAAGGGATCGCAAACAATGAGAACATATCTAGGCAGCATATTCAAGCTGGCATGTAAAATGATATCTCATTGTATGAAATATGTGTTATCATGGATATAGAAGTAGTTTAATTTGCCAACATAAGAAGATCTATTAGGATGCTGGATTCTGAGATAAATGGAGGTAGACTAGTAATAAGATTAGAGCTCACCTGGGTATCCACCACGTTGTTTAACTTGATGCCGAATTGAAAGTACAAGGCCTAGAAACCAACAATATGTATGTAAGGGCGTAAATCATCTGATTGAATTAAGAATTGTTGAGTTGACAACTTAAGACTAAACATTTTTATTTATTTCAATAGTCTTTTTATAATGTCCATGCAATGTTTCATAAACTTGAAACATATCAAAAAGCGGCGGGAAAAAAGGAAATCAGAAACCTCACTGTCACGTTTGCAATCATGAATCACTTTTGTGATATAACCAGACTCAAGTGCAGGCTTACAGGCTTGGATAAGCACATCTCCCCCCACAATTGCATCAACAAGGTATATAGCATCCGGAAATGCAAGCTGCAACAGCATAAACTTAATCACATAACAAGAGCAAACATACTAATGTCTAATGGTAGCATAAAATCATTATCATTTAAATAAAAAAAAACACAGTAGTAATCAGATGTTTTTTATACGGATACATTTAGGCTATGTTTGGATATCATGAAATGAACAGAGCGGAATGGAGCGGAGCGGAGTAGGATGGGGCGGAATGGAGCGGAACGGAATAAAGATACCATTCCATTGTTTGGAAATTTTAAGAGGGAATTAGGTAAATTGTTCATTCCACCCAAATCGGAGAGGAAGGAAAATGGTGGTAAGTGATGGAATGGAATGAAATCCATACCACTCAATTCTGCTCCGCTCCGCTCCATCCGTTTTAAAATTTATCCAAACAATGGAATATCATTTTATTCCATCTCATTCCGCTCCGCTCCATCTGGTTCCATTAATCCAAACAAAGCCTTAGCTAAACAATCTAATTAAACTACTTAATCCGTAAACTATTTTCGAGATATCAATTACAGTAAGATCTTATTCACAGGCTATTCCGGAAAGTTTGAGAGATAATTGAAATCAGTAACTTGAAAACAATTTAAAATCTTATTCATTAAAACCGCTCCATATTAAATCCTAAAGCCTCTGACATTAACATCCAAGTTCACTCTGTATTTATGCCTATACAATATCAATTTTCATCATAATTTCAACTCATCACATTACGATCACAGAAATTTCAGACAATTTCCAAATAACGAGACCGAAATTTCAAACCACATTGCATCATTCATGCATGAATTAGAACGCAATCACACACAAAAAGATGAAAAACTGAAATTAACCTGAATTATACAAAGTTTTCCATAGCGACACAAGTCAACAGCCTCACAATCAAAACCGATAACGATCTTCGACTGCGGCGAAGGTTCAAGAAAATCCACCGGAAGTTGAGAAGCTTTCGTCACTACATGAATCGGAACTCGCGGTTCCTCTTCTTCCGGAACCTTCTCACCTAATTCAAACAAAATTCATCAATAAAAATCCAAACAGCAAAAAAATAATAAAATATTAAAGTAAAAAACGATCAAAATTACTAAACAGTTGAAGAATTATGAATCATCGAAGCTTTCAGAAAAACAAATCCCTAACTGAATCGGAAAAGACGAAACGAGAAACGAAGAAAGAAAAGAATGAAAAAAAAAGCGAATCGAGAAAACGTACTGGAACGAGAGGGAGAAGACGGAGCAATGGGAAGGTGAGTGATGTACGACGGCGGAGGAGTTGGAGAATAAGAGTGACGCGGCGGAGGAATTGGAGAATAAGAGTGACGCGGCGGAGGAGTTGGAGAATAAGAGTGACGCGGCGGAGGAGAAGAAGCCATGTGATCGGAACCACATCACAGGGTTCTTTCTCTCGTTGAAGCTATGACTTCACTCTTTTTTTTCTTTGAGTTATTTTTTTCCCTCTTTCTCTTTTTTTTTTTTTTTTTCTTTTTATATTTACCAGGAAATGGAAAAATTGAAATTAGTGTGCAGCACTTTAACCCGTTTTCTTCGTTGAATATTCCAAGATTTCTGACGATTTTGTTCGATTAGATTTTTGACGCGAGGAAAAAGTGTTATGCTTTATTTTTATTTTTATTGTTTTGAATAACTTTGTTTTTTTCTTGAATGCATGTATTTAACTATAGAGATATATGTGATCTAGAAATAAAATGTATGTGAAAATAATAGAGAAAAAAAGAAAATACAATGAGAGTGTAAATTTTTTTAATACAGCCCATTAATAAAAGATATGTATTATAATAAATCTTAATTTTATTTTTAAAATATTTAAATGATATAGTAAAAATAAGAATTTTGATTAATTATATTTGTAAAATTGTTTTATACTGACAATATATTATCTTTAAATTCATTTTTAAAAAATATATAAAAACAATAATAATTATAATAAAAATAAATATAATTTATTGATAATATAAACTAATTTTATATTATTAATCAACGACTGACAATATAAATTAATTTTACATTATTAATCAATGATAATTTTTTTTTTTATTATAAAGAGGGTCGAAGCCTGAAAACAAGGAAACTACATGCACATTATCCTAGCAGTGGAGGCACCTCTAGTGTCCTCCTCAAGCAACTTTACAGTCTAGTCTGGAGCATTATAAAAAAAAATCATATTCTCATGAATTCCACATCCCACAGTAGCAAGCACGTCAGCATGTTTATTGGTCTCCCAGAATGAATGACAAATAACTACTTCATTCAACCTATCAATAAGCCTACAAAAATACTTAATAAACAAAAGACTCTCAATCATGTGAGAATAAACTCATATCAATAACCTTAAGAACCTTAGTGAAATCAACATTAATCTCCACTTTCAATCTTTCCCGAACATGCAGTAACTCAAGATCTTCATATAAATCTCCATAATTCTACCATAAACACATTACAAGTATTCAAATACTTCACAAAACCTAATCAATATCAATTATACATTATGTTAAATTAGATTAAAATTTTTAAATCATTTATATGACATGGTAGAGTGATATATTTTTATTTATTGACATTAATTTTTTACATGCATTTCTATTTAACTTTAATAATAATAATAATAATAATAATAATAATAATAATAATAATAATAATTTAATATATTGGATTTGGATGATGTCATGGCCCGTAGAATACACATATCTACTAGGGGATGGATGTAGAAGTGATGTGGGAAAAAGACGTTTTAATTCAAGAAAAGATTGAAATGGTAAGTTATTCCCTTTTTCCCTTATAAGTGATCTAGTTTATTATCTATTATCTATTATCTATTATCAATCTATTAAAAGTAAAGTATCTGGAAATTTCAAGTCTAACCTTTTGATTAGATGTTATAATTTTTCTTATTCCAAGGGTATAATAGACTAATCAACACTATGCTGTTACCATATTCATTTGGCATTTAATTTTGCATGTCAATCTATCATAATTTTACACTATTTTTTATTTATTTGATTTATTAATTTATTTTATTTATATTTGAATTTTATTTATATTTGAATTCCAATTCCAATGTTTCATTCACGGTTAATTTATTTATATTTGAATTCCAATATTTTTTTTGACAGAATTTGAATTCTAATGTTTGACTCACGATTAATGAGGAAGGAATTGGAATGGCTAAATTAGATATATTACAATTAAATAGAATATTATTCATTGCATGATTTAAAAATACCCACTATTTATCATTACACTACAAGATTAAATGTATATTATTGGAATTAGAATGGATTATTTTGATATTCCAAGATATCACAACTTCTCATGCATTCTAAACCCTATATATAGTCATTCTAAACTCTTACTCTTTCACTCCTCAATCTTCTTCATTCTCCATTATTTTCAAAAGGTTACGTATTATTTTCCAATTCTTCTTCATTCCCATATTTTGATTCTCTGTGTCCATTTTAATACAGATTTTGTAACAGGTCTAAATAGTAACATCAATGGCGCGACCGATTGAAGCTGTGAAAGACATCAACGACTCAAACATTTAATTTTGCTGACATGTCAATCTATCATAATTTTACACTATTTTTTATTTATTTGATTTATTAATTTATTTTATTTATATTTGAATTTTATTTATATTTGAATTCCAATTCCAATGTTTCATTCACGGTTTAATTTATTTATATTTGAATTCCAATGTTTTTTTTGACAGAATTTGAATTCTAATGTTTGACTCACTGTTAATGAGGAAGAAATTGGAATGGCCAAATTAGATCTATTATAATTAAATGAAACATCATTGCCTCTAGCAAACACACTACCCTAAGTTTCGTTCCATTAACATATTTACCATCTTTTTTAAATAGAATTTCTCTTCTCGTATAGAGAAGATAATAACCTACATGTTGGTGTTGATGTGCCTTCAAAATTCTAATTTATTTTGAATCGAAATTATAATTCTCATTTGTCGTGAAATTTGAATAAATTTTTTATTTTGTATTAATATTTTTTTATTTTTAATTGCTATAATTTTAGAAACAAATATTACAATTTTGGTGACATAAATATATTTAATTTTTATATATGATTTGATTCCGTAAAATATTATGATCAATAAAATTTGAATTCTCTTTTAATATTATAGGTTTGATACTGTTTAATATTATAGGAATATTATATACATTAGAATATATAAAGATATGAAAAAATTAAATCAAAACTTTACAAATATATCTTCTGAATGGAAGTATGAATATTATTTATTTTTATTATATATAGAAAATATTTTGAATGGTCACATTAATACATTTTATTTTTATGCATGATTTGATTTCAAAAATTTATGATCAATAAATTTTGAATGAAATTATAATTTAACCAATAAAATTTTCTACCGACTTCTAAATATATTTGTATATATTTTTTGAAAGGTTACATTTATATTCTTGAAAAAAATAACGTAGTTTAAATGATGTATTGTTAACTATAAATATATTGTTAATAAAATTAACAAAAAAAAGGTATATTATAAATATATAAAAGATAAAGTAAATAAGAACTCTAATGTTTATCTTAAATATTTAATTTATCATTCTATAAATGTAAGAATAAATATTATTTTGTAATTATTTAGATCCTTATTTGACCTAAAATAAATTATTTCAATTTCTATAAAAAGGTTAATAGAACAAAACAAAATGAATTGAGATTTGATAATTTTTTAAAGTTTATGAAATAACTAAAATATATCATAATCTTTTCAAATTAACTTTATAATTGTAATCATGATAAAAAAATATTAAATGGTAATCATGAAAATTTAATGATAAATGATAATCATAAAAATTTATGATAAAATAAAAAATTATTGATACAATCACTTTAAAAAATTAAATAATTTATAATTAATTTTATAAAGGTGAATAAATTACAAATAATTTTATAAATGTAATAAATTAAACTATTTATAAAATTATTTATATCAATAATAGTAAATTACATATATTTTAATAATGGACACACGAATTCAACATACTTATAAACCGGAAAAAAGTTACAATAATTTTATAAACAGGAATAAGTTAATATCATTTTATATAAATTAATGGTATAATATAATGTATTAAATATTTATATAACACTTTATTAAATAAATTTATTTCATGAAATTAATTTTGTATAATATCATTAATTTTTAATTATTGAAAATTCGCAATAAACTGAAAAATATTTATTACAAATCAAATATAATAAAACATAAGAAATAAATACATAATTTTGAAATGTTATATATGATTCATTGTAATAATAAATGTTAAATTATTATTTAATATTATAATAAATTTTCCGATATTCTTAGATTTAATTTATTCTTTTTCCCGTATATAATAATAATATTATATTATTATTTAATATTATAATTTTTGATTGACAATAATAAATTCATTTTAATTAGTTAGACATTAAGATAATAAATTTAATATATATATCACTAATACACGATATTTATTTATAAATGTAATTAACTAAGAGACACATATTTATCATTGTTGAATAAATAAATTTAAGATAATATGGTAAATATTTATTTTTACAATTATTTTTATAAACTTAAATAACTTACAAATATTTTGATAAACGAACAAAATTCAAATATTGATGTAATTGTTTTTACCAAACTTTGTTTTCTTTACAACATATTAAATATTTTTCATTGCTGCATCATAGTATTTCCTTTTATATGCAGGAACAACCCCAATATTATTCCAGAAACAGTTAGTAGATTGAAGGACATGTTAGATGAGTTCAACACACATGCCAAATCTTTTAGGATGGCAGCAGATAGATTAAAGGATTGTCCTTTGCCTGATCTCAAGCTTAAGCTAATATCTGATAGATCAACAAATGGAAGGATTTATAACCAACCTACTGTTTCGGAGGTAGCCGCCCTAATAGTTGGTGATGTTGATACGGGTTCTAAGAGGGATATTCTTCTTGAAAGAAAGAGCGGAAGGCTAAAAAGAATAAGTGAGTTTCATTCAAGTTATCTGGCATATCAATATCCACTTTTGTTTCCTTATGGGGAAGATGGTTTTAGACTTGGAGTTCTTCTTAGAGAAACTAATACCAAACAAAAAATGAAGAGGAATAAGCTTACCATTAGAGAATGACTTGCTTTTAGGATTCAATGCAGACATAACGAGGCACAAACTATATTGCGGTCAAGAAGGTTGTTTCAACAATTTTTGGTTGATGGATTTACTATGATGGAGTCACAAAGATTGAATTATATTCGAAAACATCAGAAAAAGCTGCGTGTTTCTAAATATTGCAATTTGAGCTCATCTGAACAGAA